TTACCATGAAGTGTCTTCAAAGTGCTCAATTTTTAAGATGGCTACATTAACCATTGGTGGATTTGTGGCCTGAGATGAATAATTAGTTGTATCTGGACATTTGGCTTCTCCAGACAGTGAATAACAGAGGGCCACATAGTTTAGATGTCCAGACAAAAAAGATTCAAGGAAAGCTTGAACATTAAAAAAATGAGTCTAGATAAATATTTAAAGGGATAACATTTACCTTAAATGCTCACATGCTGGTCATATAAAATACCTAGAGCCTTTTAACACCACAGGAGTTTATGAAAAGGGCAGAAATTATATATATATATGCACATATTTATCCTATTCAATGCAACTGTAACTTTTTTGAAGTATGTTGTTGGTGTTCTGATCAACTGGTAGCTATAAACACGAAGTATAAAAATAATCGTCCAATAGGGAGGAAAAACTGTTTTGTTTTTTTTTACTTCAGTTATTACCACACCATGAAGCACTTTTATCAAACTTTAATGCCAGTTTACCTGTTTACCGTGGCTCATAATCACAGCATTTCATGTAGCATAGCCACATAAATTTAACAGATTATGTAACGGTAACGATTTTGGTGTGGGATCATGTAGCACCTGTCAATTTATATGATCATGTGGAGAGAAATGATATGGCGTTGTTGAAGGCCATACTGGATCCCCGGGGTTAAGCGCTCTCTAGTGGTTTCTGTTTTTGCCCCTCTTGTCCTTTATGGAACATGCTGTTGAGGTCACCTCCTTGGCTTACTATCAATATACTTTGCAATGTACCATCACGGGCAGGTGTAAGGAACAGAAAAATTCACACCAGGGTTTGTGGAAATTTAAAGTTTTAAGATGAGTTTCACTTTAGCTTTCATGGAACTAAGTGGCTGCTATGTTTCTACTGTTCTTAAATGCATCCATAGACCCGCCGAGAATGATTCAATTTACTTAAGGGAATAAAGTCCACTTATTATGTATTCTGTTCAACACTAATTTTGTATCTTTTGTAGTTTCCATCACTTTGTATGAGTTTTACTTTGGTCAGAGACAGGGGCACTGCACTGCTTGCATTTAAAAACAAATAATTTTGTTGAATTTATAACCAACATTTTAATCTGCTTTTCCAGTATCATGTTGCTGAATGTACCACACAACACCGGGATTCATGCTTTCTTTTCATGCTGTGATCATACTGGGTGTTCTGTGCAAACAGCTATTGATCTGTCGTTTTGGCACCCAGACTGTTAAATGTCATACAACTGAATGTGTTCAATGCCTGTTTGCTTTCTAACCACTTGATATGCAGGTGTACATACTGAGTATTTCAAAGCTTTAAATGTACAGCTTTATGTAAATATATATTGCAAATACAATTGAATACCATGTGTCATTCTTTGCTACTGATCACTGCTCAAGTCACTTACACTTGACAAATTTCCATGATTTTCGTTTGTATTTAGATGTTTGTAGTTCTGCCTCTCTACAATCTGCAAATATACAGCCTTAATCTTACTTTATATGAAATATTAAATTCAAATTTGACCTTTTTCTTCATGGATGTGTTGGTAAGTGTTAAATCTCCTGTTGATAAGCCTTTATTATTCAAGTGGTTAAATGTGAAATAATACCATTCAAAGTTGGTTTGTGTCCATCTAACAGTGTCAGTTTCTTGCAGATTGTCAGTAGCCTTCTGCCACAGTGCCGTTCCTTATTCACTTCCCACAGCTGAGGGTTTGTCCTTCTTAGCACTGATCACAGGTAACAGCAATGGAACGACATATCAGCAGGTGTGTGATATCTGTTGGCAAGCATTCTCCTTTAAGCTCTGATCCAACATTAGATTATTATGTTGTTGTCACCTGTAAGTTTCAGTCAGATTCTTTCACATGCTCGCAGAACAAATTAAGAAATTATTAGTGCTGTCAGCGTTAATCTCGTTAAAATTACGTTAACGCCATGACAGCATTAACGCGGCAAATCTCCGTTAGCGAGTTACCGCGTATCGCCCCGTGTGTGGGGCTGCACGGCATCAACGCGTTAGCCTGTGTGGGTTTCTCTGAGTACTCTGGCTTTATTCCACAATATGTGACACAGATAAAGTACTTAAAACACTGTATGAATGTATGGTTTAATGTGGCTCATAACCAAAAATGCCAGGTCCGATTTTTTGTCCCAGTCGAGCTCTGATTTGGATTGTGGAATTTGGTGTAAACAACAGGAAAGAATGGATCAATGTGGTCAAAAAGTGCACCAGCAATGACTATACAAATACCTCAGAGACACAGCTAAACACTCCTCTGGGTCAACACAATGAATGTCCTTGAGTGGCCCACACTCGAACCTGATTAAACATCTCTAGAGAGATCTGAAAAATGCTGTACACCAACACTCCCCATTCAACCTGACTGAGCTCGAGAGGTTCTGCAAAGAAGAACTGAGAAGCTGCCAAAGGTGCTTCAACAAAAGCTATGAATAATTACGTACATGATATAGTTTTGTTTTTTATTTAAACAATAATCAAAATCAAACATACAGCTTTCATTGGACATGCTGGATTAATGACTCCCAAGTCAGGGAGCCAATTACGCAGGTGGGTGGAAGGATAGTTTTCTAATCAAGGGATCAGTCAGACGTTGAAAACTATCTTGACATTTTGATAACCAGATCTATAGGTGATAGTAATTAATGAAACTTTATGGCCTCAGAGTCTACCAAACTGTATTGATGACATATCTTAGTATCAGTATCCTTAGATTTATTGGCTGGCACAGCCTTTTGTCCGCACTGGACAAGTAGAAACAAAATGACCTTTTGTGCCACAGTAAAGACACTCACCCACTGCAAGGCATCTTCTGTGGGTTAGTCGAGAGAGGTGAGCATGGCCGAGCAACATGGCTTGCTTGCCTGACTGTTATTGCTAGCTCCCTCCGTTACTCCACCCCGATGGAACCTTTACTGTGTCTGACTTTAAATGACCTCTTTCCACAATGAAACCAAGGAAGTCTTGGAAAAGATGAGAGTATCATGAAGACTGACAAAGTTGTTAATGAAATCTCAGGACATTGTTTGAGGGTCTGAAATTTCTGCAGGAGCATTTGTTAAACCAAAAGACATTACCAAGTACTCAAAGTGACCCAGATGTGTATTAATTGCTGTCTTCCACTCATCCCCAATCCTTTATTCTCACCAAATGTAAGCATTACTGAGATTCAACTTGGTAAAAACAGTCGCACTCCTGGAGCAACTCAAAAATAGAGGTAAGCAAGGGCATTTATTCTTTGTCGTTATCTTAAACCACGGAAGTTGATACAGGGCCAAAGGGACTTGTCTTTCTTCTCTACAAAGAAAAAACCTGTGCATAGGAGATAATGAAGGACAGATAATCCCTTGTACTAATGAGTCAGTAATGTACAATCCATGGCTTCATGTTCTGTCTGTTGAACAATCATCTGCACCATAAGGAAGAGAGAGAGCTAGATCCTTACTGAACATTTTGGCTAGGTCGTTAGGTCGGGCTTGGCAAAGGTGTCAGTTTCAACTGAGGGAATGGCTGACTTAAGGTTCTGTTGGTGGCAGCAACATTTCAACCAGAAATTTTATTTTTGCTTTTAGTATGTGAAGGTTACATTCACTAAGCCACGAGTGTCTTATAACCAAAATGAGGTGGGGGCCTCACCCTACTGCCAGAGTGAGAGAGTCACAGGTCAAGTCTTATGGGTGACATCAGGGAGACTGTTTAAAGCGGAGACTTGCAGAGGTTCAGAGTGTTGTTAGAGGTATTTTTGAATTCAGAGGCAGGGAATTAATAATGAAACTTTGTTAGGTCCCAGAATCATTATGGGTGTTGACATATCTTAGCAGGTATTTAAACCTTGGGTAGAGAGGAGTTATTATTTATTTTGTAAATAATAGCCAAGGCGTAGCCAAGTGGCAGACGGCTTCCACTTGGGTGAAGCCAAGTCAAGACAACTTTATTTATTAAGTACTTTAACAACAGCTAGCACTGACCAAAGTGCTGAACATAAATAAGAAAAAATATAAATGCTAAAAATAAAAATACAATATAGAACACCAACATCAGAAAGACAACAAAATCTGAATAAAATGAACATTTCTGTACTGGCTTAAAAGCCAAACTGAAAAGTTGTGTCTCAGAATCTCCTCTCTGCTTTTCGTAGATGATGTGATTCTGTTGGCTTTATCAGGATGGTGGCCTCCAGCTCGCACTGGAGTGGTTCACAGGCCAGTGTGAAGTGGCCATCTGGGAGGGGCTCAGAGTAGAGCTGCTACTCCTCCACATTGAAAGGAGCCAGTTGAGGTGGTTCAGGCACAGTGCAGACCCAGGACACACTGGAGAGATTTTATTTATAAGCTGGAGAAGCTGGCTAGGGAGTGGGAGGTCTGGGCTTCTTTGTGTAGGCTGCTGCCCCCGCGACCCGGGTAAACTGAAGAAAATGGAAGGATGGATCAAAGCATTTTGTTAACACTATAAAAAGGTGCAAAATAGTTCTTCTCATTACTGTGGAGGAGAGGGTCGCAGTAAACCCGATGCTTGTCTGACAAGGGTGCCTGGGGAGGTGATTTCAACACACAGCCAAGACATATCATGTATCAGATATCCTGGCAGCAGTGGCGCAAGAATGGATGAAAATGTAGTCTAAGCTGTGCGGTGCACTTTGGAGTGCTTGGACCCTTACATAGCTGTTTTACACCTCAGCTTCGGACAAATCACATGATGATTATTGGGTTAGTGACCTTCAGGACTATCTCCAAGGTCACAAACCAAGTCTGGGTTAAATGGGAGTCTCCATCTGTTGTTAGAGCTGAAGAGGCTCCTCAATAAGAGCTGAAATGTCTTCACAAACCAAAAAGACGTCCCTCAGACTACTGAAACCAGAATGGGCTATTTCCCCTATACTGTAGTGACAGCTGTGTTCTTATTTATTGTGCTCATGAGGTCAAACTGGCGATCACAGAAGTAGGAATGATGAAACGGCACGCTTTGACTCTTTGCTTTTATTCAGGTAGCAGCATCAATCAACACTGTCCTACTTACACACTGCAGCCCCGCTCAGCCCTGCAAGGCTAACAGTTTACACTTCACACAGCTGAAGACCGAATATCATACAACAGTCTCTTAGATAGCTTCTTCACACTCATACACACGAACCTGCACCAAGACCTTGTGCAGCTTCCTGTACAGGGTGAGAGATCACTGTGATGTGTGTGAGAGAGGCCTCTAGTTTCACATCAGCATCAAGTTTGTGTGAGTCCAGGGAGTTTTTTGGAGACTAGGACTGAGTGACAAGTTGCTGCCTAATGACGCGTTCACTCTGATCCTGGCTGGGACCTGACAGAGGCCGCTGTGCCTCCAGCTGCTCAAAGTGGAAGAGTGAATCCATAACTGCAGCTGACTGCACCTTCAGTTAACAAGTTTCACACGCCTAACCTGCAGGAAGAAGGACTGACGTGGATTAAAATGCATGTGTTAGTTTTATTAAATTTTGGTTGCTTAGGTAACAGGTTGCTTTACCACCACACTCATGACTACAGCAGGCAGCAGGAAACACAAGGGCAGCAGCTGTGCTCAGATAATCAGATTTTCTTTTCCTAGCTAAGTGAAGCTGCACAGAAGAATGTGAGCCATAATTATATTGGGGTGAATTCAGGAAACGTGGTTCAACGCTGCCTTTATTTCCTATGATAGGAAAGCAGTGATGGTGTCCTATAAGTGGACTGACAAGCAACACAGATCATCTACATCCTAGTCAAAGATATATATATTTTGAACTATTTGTTATATCCATAAATGAACTCTTCTTAAAATGACCTTTGCATGAAGTTCATTCCCGTGTGAAACGCTTTGTAAAGCAGACTCAATAAAAATGAATAAAAAAGGTAAATGGACTGATTCTTATATAGCACTTTTCTACTCTCCTGGAGCACTTTATACAACACGCCACATTCACAGAAGCACTTTCCTTTCAGTGCTTCCTAGCTAACACTCACACACTGATGGATGCTTGAGAGACCAGGCAACTTGGAGCCAGGGATCGAACCATTAACCTTGCGATCAGTAGATGACCTGCTATTCCTCCTGAGCTACAGCTACCCCAGGACGATACACTATATTAGGTATTGCTGTATTGCCAAGATTAAATAATTTGACTACAGCAATGTGTGCAGTGCACAGGAGGAGCGATCGGACCTTTACGCAGCCGTTTCACACTGTGACTCCTGGGGCAAATCTGGCAACCCAAATCTGGGTTAAATACCGGGGTTCTGCTTCACTACTTCTTTCCTCACCTGACCTCATGTTTTCCACTAAGGTCATGTGAATTGGAGAAGACATAGGAGAATATTTTTTGCACTATTTGACCAAGACCAGTATCATCATATTATCAATATTTTTTTCAAGTATTCCATAATATCCATGTCAAAACGTTCAGTTTCACTTTCACTGTATTGATTACAAAATTATTCCTGCAGTGATTTGTGTTCCCAATGTCTTTAGACCCGTATCTAACTTTAGTTTTTCTTTATAATATCATGCAGGACATTAATGCCCAGCAGTGTCTTTTATCAGGACTCTATGGCTGCCAGTATGTCCACAGCCTCCCCAGATAACATGAAATTAGCGGCACAACATTCATACCAGACCAATAATAAGTTGACGATACACCAACTGATGGTGTGACACCTCACAAACAAGAGAGCGCACACTGGCACTGTGTTATTGGCTCATTTGGCTGCTATAGTATCATTGTAGGGTCTTTACCTTACATTAAAGCACCTTGAGGTGATTATTATTATTGTGATTTTGCGCTATATAAAAAAACCCTGAATTGAACTGCTGTCAAACTAGAGGCCAAAGGGAGAAAGAACGAGTGTGAGGCAGAAAGTGTTTGGGACTCACCTTACTGGAACTGGTAGATTTTTACAGATTTCCCATCCTCCCATCAACCATTTAACCCGCTCATAGATAATGCTGACTGTTGGGCCTTGTTGCTGCACTCTGTTATGGGAGGCAGTTAACTAAGCGACAATGCTTCCATCTGCTGTCACATTCTGTAGTCGTACCAAAACAGAAGACACACTACAGGGCTGATGTGGAGATCCCCTGAAAATTAACCAAGCAGATGGCCTCCAGACATTATTACACTTTTAGCTTATTTGTCATACGAGTAGGAAGATTTATTCTGATCTGTATCAGCCATGAAACAAATTCAGCAGCAGCAGATGGTCAGATGGCTGCTACCCTCTGTATCTGAGTGTGTCTCACTCGTCACAATAAACTTTTTTAACTCTCTGTCAACATGTTGACCTCTTTGTCCTGCTGCCTGCAGATCGGTTGCATTGGAGCCGGGGCTGTGCTGTCAGTCATACTGCAGCTTCCTGTTACTTCATAGTTTTGGAAAGCTTAGTCCACAGTGCTCTACACCCTGCTAAGCACTGTCCTGGCAGAACACACACCCACACACACAAACACACACCCACACTTGTATCTACCTTCACATACACATACAAACACACACCCACACACACATAATGTTACACATAGCCATAACACTGTCATTGGTCTTAGAAATATGGCAAGGCAATATTTTTGTTTGCTGTCTATCATATTCCATAACTGAAGCTTGAGGCCCACACACCTGGGGCCCAGCCCCAGCAGTCCCTTGTGCGATCATTCATAGCTTTAACATCCTGGGAGAAGGAAACACTTCACACATTTTCTCCTTTATCCACAACTGATGACAAAGTCGGAACAAAAGAGCCCCTGCAGTGTCACACTCAGTGTCCAATGTTCTGAGGGACTTAAGTCTCAAAGTATCCCCAGGACCCACACAGGCTTCCGTTCACACTATGCTCCCCTCGTGCAGCCTGTGGAGCATGTCAGTAGTTCAGAGTTGGGGCTATGAGGGTCCGCAGTGGTGGCTAGCTGTTGTTTTCAGCCGTCATGTACTTAAGGGCGGCAAAACCGTACCGCCGCGACATGTTCTGTTGGAACTCCTCCTTCAGGGTCTTCAGGCAGACCCGGTACTGCTTATTGGAGCGGAACTTGGTGATGTCAAAGCTGGGTGCATGAGGCATATGGATCATGAAAGCATTGGGCAGAACCACAAATTCATACTCCTGTGGAGAGAAAAGAACAAACTTTCAGTCTGAATTCCTCAGGAATCACCGTCCATACCTGAGTACATCTGATCTGGTAACATGTAACTGCATGAGCCACATTCCTCTTGGTCGTGCATAAGAAGCTAAAATTCGCAGTCGAACTGAACCGAAGTGCGCAGTTAACATCATTACTATTCTCATATTTTCAACAATGAGCAACACCTGTCACAGGACACACGCAGACATTAGATATAGTGACAATAAAAAATTTATAAACACAAAATAGTTTCTATGACTTTTAGAAGTTGCATTTTTATGCTCCAAAAAAGGATGTTTGCATAAAGTCCTCTAAGACTATTATTAAGCACTTCAGTCAAACCTGACCTATGACCTCTTAAAATTAAAATCCAGTCATAATGAGTTTAGGAATGGGTATCGAAAACCGGTTCTTGTTGAGAACCGGTTCCCACTGTTTCAATTCCTTGGAATTGTTTGCCATTTTTGCAAACAATTCCCTTATCGATTCCAGTCGCCCCGAATGACGTCACCATGTTGCGGAGCGTCATTTACCTGGCAGGAAACACGGCGCCTAAGCGGCTCAAACACTAAAAAGTTTGATTATACTTTACGAGAACGGATGACAACAGGGCAACTTGCAACATCTGCCACAGCAGATGCCCCGATTTTCGGTAAGTGAATGTGTTTAATTGTAGGCAGGGAAATTACTGGATATTCTTCTGTAATTGCTACAGAATAATTTATGTTATACTTCGTTATTGCTACAGAAGAATATTTATTGTATTATTTTACATTTTTTTTCCTGGGGACCCCATGACACCCCATTGAAGAGCCGTAAGCTGTGGATCTCTTAAGATCTCACTGTTGGGTTTGTAAGGCCACTTTACTCCTAAATTTCTATCTTGTTCAAAGAGAAGATATAAAACAAAGTTCTAAGCTATTCGACCTTAGTGTTCTCCTTTTTTAAAAGGAATCAATAAGAGAATCGATATAGAATCGAATCGTTAAACAGAATCGAAAATGGAATCGGAATCGTGAAAATCGTATCAATGCCCATCCCTAAATGGGTTGCATGCTGATTTCTTCTTCAGCTAAAAGAGAACAGAACGTGTCACTGTAAAGCCATACAATCTGTCCAATCATTTGACTGACTGAGCTTTTGAGCTTTCTTTATCCTCAAATCCTCAAAATACAAAAATAAATGTGGTTAAATTACACAGTGGAAATCAAAATTATCTTAAGTTAAGTTATCCTAACATGAAAAAAGTGGAATATAGTGGGAAAGGATTTCATCATTTGAAAATATTCTGTATCACATTATAAAACAAACTTAAATGAGAAATTTAAACGTTTTCCATCCATCGACTGCTGCTTGTCTGGGTTACAGAGGCAGTTGTCTCAGCAAAGATGCCCAGACCGCCCTCTCCCCAACTACTGAAAAATGTCCTTGTTTAACCACCTCCTTGACCTCATGCCCAGGGATAGACCCCTTTCCCCACAATTTGCCTCCTCAAAGGAAAGGATGTCAGTGGGCTCAAAGAAACCCTCCTAATAAGTCAGTTAATAAATTGATACATTTTTTTACTACTCGGTATGCTTGAAGTGCTTTTTTCAATTTCTTAGCATCTAACATTGTTTCACACTCTCGCACTCTGATGGGGAACAACGTGGGCTTCAGAATCTTGCTTTGATATGCAGACTTGAGGGAGTGAACCCCCAACCTTCCACATGGTAGACAACCAGCTCCACCTCTCAGTCCACAGCCACACCACATTCACCACCTAACAATATCCTTATATAAAGTCAGCAGCTCTCTAGCCTCACCACATACAGGTGAGCTGGAAGATGCTTCTCTATTCTGAGTCACTTGACACTTTGTCAGTTTGCCTTGACGTCAGTTAAAATTCTTGTTCCATAGCATCACCAAACCCAGGTTTTTGCTTCAGCTACTGCCAGAGTCGCTCTCTTTGTGACTCTGGCAACGTAGGGCCTGTCAGCTGACTGTTCAACGTATCCTCAGAATATAAGCTTGAGTATGAGGCCTATCCAGCGTCTTCCCCTACAACCTGACTTAACTTGCCACCAGTTGGTGATGAGTTGTGCTGATCAGCTATGCTTTTAACTTTACTTGAGGTCCAAAACACCAGTCTGAACGTGGTGGTGGTTTGAACGATTATTTTAACTGCTGAGGAGAGCAACTGCTGACTTTTCTCAGAGGAATGTTGTCCTGGTCTTATCTGATAGAGGATTCTAGCTGCTCAACAGTCCTGAGGCTCCAGATGTTCTAAGCTGGCGAATGGTGTGGACTCTTCTTCTATGAAGCCGTGCTGCTGGAATAGATGCAATATGCAGTTTAGCATCGTCCTGCTAGACTATGATAAAGGCACCTGCTGTCTTTATGTTGCTCTAAAACCTGTATATACCTTTCAGCACTGATGGATCCTTTCCTTCATGTGTAAGCTGCCAGTTCCATAGGCTCTGATGCCCCCAGTAGTATCAAAGATACAGGCATTTGAACTGAGCACCGATAAGCAGTCAGATCATCCCTGTCCTCTTTAGTCCAGAGGACGCAGCGTTCATGTTTTCCAAAAAATATTTTGGTTCCGATTTCTCCGACCTACGATCAGTTTTCCACTTTGAGCTTTGGTCCATCGGAGACAGCAGTGTTTGTGGATCAATGTTACAGATGATTCTTATCTGCATGATGGAGCTTTAACCTGCACGTACGGACGGCACACTGAGCTGTGTTCACACACGGTGATTTGTGAAGTGTTGCATTCTCTCAGTCTGTTGATGATATAATGTACTGTAGACAATGAGATGTTCAGTCTGCACAGTTTAGGAACATTACTGTGTTATTGTAGGATCTTTATCTTACAGTATAGAGAACCTTGAGGTGACCATTGCTGTGATTTGGCGCTACATAAATGAAACTGAACTGAATTAAGCTAGTTGCCAAATTTGTAGATACATTTTTCTTCTTGTATTTTCTTCTGAGAAACACTCTTTTTATATCCACTCATGTTACTGACCTGTTGCTAATAAGTCTACTGTATGTTCATTCAGTTGTGAGTTTAAACAACCAATATGTTATTATATGACTTAAAGAGATTTTCAAATCACTGGATTCTGTTTGTATTTACATTTTACACAAAGTCTCAATTTTGGGAGTAAATGAGGTTGACAATGGGAGCACTGAGTTACCTGTGCATCCAGCTCCATAATGTGAGCCACCTTGTTCCAGCCAAAGCCCACAAAGCGGCGGTCATACTCAGGACTGTCCCTCCTCACCATAACATAGGGCTCAAAGTCAGCCTCCCACTGCACTCTGTAGGGAGTGGTGGCTGTCCGCCATTTGGCAAAGTTAGTTGGTGCATGGCCTTTAGTCCACACATGATATCTGTATGGAGAAAAAAGGAAAGTAGTTTACCAGAGCAGAAATGCACTCGACAGTTCCTAAAAAATTAGGTGGTACTTTGGACACAGGGATGCAAAAAGCTCTTTCTCTAGCGTAGATGTGAAAATTGAGTCTTTTTTATAGAGTTTTTACCCCACTATTCAGACCAAATCATTTTTGATGGCAGCACAGTTATCTCCATATATGTGAGTGCCATAAGACCATAAGATAAAAGACGTATTACAGACTGCAAACTCAAGGTGGGTGAAGCAAAGTGAATATGACTCAAAGAGCCTTGGGCACCCATAGAGACTGCACACAGGAGAAGCCCTGTAGAGTTTTGACCAGTATAGTGTTGCATCTGTACTCACACTAAACATAGGCATATACTTATCTCCATGTCTGTGAGATGAAATTACATTTTCATTAATTTATGTCAAAGTTATTAACACCAGTATTTTGTGAAACCAGCTTCTTATCCTTCTGTTCCAGATGTAAAGCAGAAGGTTTGATTCACGCTGGTTTTACTGGATGTCATGTGTGCCTCATTGCAGCTTTCTGTTAGTGCCACTCATGTCTTATGTCTGCACTGAGCACCTCTGAGTCCGCTGACAGAACGTATCTGCGAATCTACTATTCTTTTCTGGTTCACATACCTTCTACGACAGAGAGGGACAAACATGTCTAACCTGAAGGTGAAGAGTGTGCCCATGTCCAGCTGAGACAGCAGCTCGGCTTTAGATTTCGGGTATGACAGTCGATACCGAAGTGTCTCAAAGGCGGGAACCACTAGAGCTTTCTTGGTGTTGGCCATGTCCAGCTGCACCACAGACTTCCTGCACATAGACGGTAAGTGATTGTTCACAGTGTCAATGAGGAATGAGATCAACATTTAGAGCTGTCCTTTGGTTTTTACTTAATCATCTTACCTGAGATACTCATAGAGGCTGTACATAGGCAAGAAGTCAATGTCTGATAGGAACATGTAAGGTGTGTTGACGTGTCGCATGGCCACATTTCGTAGCAAGTTGACTGGGTAGAACTGACCCTCCTTGTAGACAATGTGGTAACCGACATTCCCACGACTCATCAGCACCTCAGAGCCCTGAGCATAGCGAAGGAACTGCTGGGCTTCAGCATCTGACAAGTACAGGGCGAGGCTGATGGGGCCTTCCCAGTGCTTACAGATGGCCTCCAACATCTGGAGCCTACAAGACCAGATCACAGGCATAAATGACATCACCAAATAACTTATTACATATAGAGGATATATATATATATATACACATGCATCGCGACGGGAGTATTAGTTTTGTCAGCCAATGACAAAACATCTGCTGTTCTTTCATATTAGAGAAAACAGCAGGAGATCTTGCAATGAAATACAACTACTGGATTGCAATATTTGAAATGTTAAAATGGAAGTCTGCTTGCTAGCTGTGGGCAGTTCTTTTTCTGTTTTGTTCACAATGATTATTCTGAATTGATGTTAGAATAAAAACATGAAAAGTCAATAAAATAATTAAGAAGTCTTTTTTTTTTTTTTATAAACCACATATTTCTGTCACTGGCAACCACAGTGACTGAGTAGTTGAGAGTGGTGGTTGGAAGTTGCAGGTACTCACTGTGAAATTGATTGGTGAAGCCCAAGTGAGGCAGGCCTAGAGGCTGTCAGTGGTAATTAGGGTAATTAGGAAAAAATGTGTATTTCCTGACTAGCTGGTGAGTAGTTGCAAGAGGCTGCTTGCTGTAGCAAAGTGAAATCGATTGCAAAGGTGTATAGAGCACTGAACCAAAAACCTCTTTGTATTTGCTTTGGTTGCAAACAGATTTCCATGGTTGCCCATAGATAGTATGGAAAACACTGACTGGTCTGCAGAGTCTAAGCAGTAGTGAAACTTTTAAAACGGCATTGCACACAAGAAATGGAGATCATTCCCCTTTAAAGTAAAAGATGAACTTTTTGAAATGTGTTAGTTTCTGTTAGTTAACGCTGAAGGAAAATTTTTGGTTTGACTTGCACTTTTCCAAGTTACGCTACCATTCGGTGGTTAGCTTTTATCGGGGTGACCATGGTTCAGGGGGTTGGGAAGCTCATCTTGTAACTGGAAGGTTACCGGTTCGATCCCCTGCTCTGTCTGTCTTGGTCGTTGTGTCCTTGCGCCTAAAGGTGTTGGCCAGAGGGGCCGATGGCGCGATATGGCAGCCTCGCTTCTGTCAACCTGCCCCAAGGCAGCTGTGGCTACAACTGTAGCTTGCCTCCACCAGTGTGTGAGAGTGAATGAATAGTGGAATTGTAAAGCGATTTGATGGTCTCGAAAAGCTCTATATAAATGTAATCTATTATTTTAAGTGTCGGCAGACAATTTGATTCAATTTTACAAAGCAATCATAAGGATGTTTTCAGTGCAGCATCGTCTTTGCAGCCAATTTCACCCAACCACAGGGAGCAACCTCCAGCAACCACTCAGCAGCCATCAGGAAATATTCATTTTCCTCTAGCGACCAGATGTTGTCAGGGGTTCACAGTCATGAAGATGTGAAAATAAACCTTTTTAATGCCACTATATCGCCTTGATCCAGATTATTGCTGAATAAGAGATGAACTGATCTCACTTTCTGATGTTAATCAAGGACACTTTTAGACTCTAAAATTATTAACCTAGAAGCTCAGAAGTTCTGGGGGTAGTCATTTTTACTGACTGTTAAATACTTTTCCCTGGTCTATGGTTTTAAAAACATAAAACTGCAGAGTACAGGCCGAATGGCTAACCTTTAAACATTTCAGGTAGGTTTGGGTATTTGGCAGTATGACAAAAGCTGCAAACTGAAAAAGAGCTGTTACTGGAAGGATGTTTGCTTCTGCTTTTTAAGTATCCTAGTATTCTTTAGTAGTGCAGGACTATATATATAAACCATTAGCCTGTAAGGAAGATATTGGTAAATGATTGCAGCCAGGCTCCAGTACATACCTGAATTCAACTAGTTTCTTAAGCTCAAGCCTTACTGCAGTAGAGGCAAACCATTGTTAAGCTCTATAACAGGAGATATGTAAATATATTTCTCCCCCAATGTCATACCTAAGAGGTTTGTTCCTTCGATCTTCATCAGTCAACAGATTCGCCAACACAGCTGTTTATTGTGTGTGTGGGGGGGTTTCTAACCAGGAGCAGCTCTAATATGTTTTTTCTTAACATTTTCAATGTTCTAAAACCTCTGGAAGCCTTCCACTTCATTGTTCTGCCCACTTTGAACTAAACACACCTGTGTAGCTTCTGTAAGTGTGGGTGTAAACCAGCACCTGTCCATAGAGAGCTGGGCGACGAGAGTGACATCTGTGTTGTCAGAGCTGGGTTTATACTCATAGTGCAGGAAGTAGAGGTGTGTTCGATGGACAGTGAATCGCTCTCGACGAAACTCGTAGCACGGATCATCTTCGTCCAGCTCTGACAGTGTCTTCTGGAGCTGCAGATAGAGAAAGATAGGAAGAATAAGACAGATTATAGACCAGAGAGACAGAATCTCAACAACAACAAAAAAACTAGACAAAACATGCATGTCACTGAGTGAAATAAGTATTTGATCCCCAAACAAAACATGTCCAGTACTTGATGGGGAAACCCTTTTTGCTGGTAAAACATTTCTCGTAGTTTGCGCACATCTCAGGAGGGATTTTGTGTTACCAATGGTAGTCTTGGTGACTGTGAGCTGCATTCAGCTGCCTTCAGATGATTAACAAGCTCCTCCTGTGTAGTTCTGGGCTCATCCACCACCTCACTCTTAACCATCCTCACCCTACGAGGCAAGATCTTGCAAGGGACTGTGGCTGCAAGGTGGCTGGTATCTATGGGAGTGGTAATCCCTGAACCATATGGTGGACAGAGGTGAAAGGAGCAATCAAGCTGAAGGAGGAGTCTTATCAGGGTTGGTTAATTCAATTCAATTTTATTTATACTGTGCCAAATCACAATAACAAGGCGCTTTGAATTGTAAGGTAAAGACCCTGCAGCATTTTGGATTAACTGAAGGGAGTTTTTAAGACAACTTATAATAACAAATTACAATAATTCAGTCTAAAATTAATAAATGAATAAACTAGTGTGTCAGTGTCACATGATTTTAGAGATCTTGCACAAATGAAAGAAAGCAGTCCCACATATTTGTATGTGCATTGAAGGACATATCCTGATCAAAAACGATACAAAGTTTCCTTTCAGTGTTACTGGAGGCCAAGGTAATGCCATCCAGCAAACAGGGATGACAGACTAAGGTTGGTGTTCCCACAGCAGCAGCGGGAGCGAGTTTTAAGATTGGGGCATATTATTCCGTGGGTGGGGCATCTGGGAACTAAGAAGACAAGGGACCGAATTGCCAGCAGGTTCTATTGGCCAGGTATGAACAGAGAGGTTGAGGAGTTTTTCTTGCTCAATCTGTCAGCTGGCTGGTGATAAAAATGTCCCAAAATTTCCTTTAAAGCCTTTACCTGTTATTGATGTTCCATTCAGTCGCATTGCAATGGATATAGTGTGGCCGCTAGAGTGAACCCAGGCAGGTAATCGCTATATATTAGTGGTTTGTGACTACAGTACCAGATATCCAGAAGCATTTCTCCTTAGGGAAATTACAACTAAACAGACAGCTTATGCTCTCTTGCAGGTTTTTTTTTCCCAGGTGGATACTCCATCTGAGATTTTGACGGATGATGGTTTTGAGTTTCTTTCACATACCCTGAGGCAGGTGTATAAGCTTTAAGGTATTAGCAGTATTTGAACCCCCAAACAGATGGCTTGGTGGAGAGATACAATCGAACTCCGAAAGCAATGTTGAAGAATTTCATCTCAGCTAATGCTAAAGATTGGGACATGTGGCTTCCTGATTGGCTGTTCGCTTATAGGGAAGTGCCTCAAGCATGAACCGGCTTTTCACCTGCTCCTGTATGGCAGGCAGGTGAGAGGACCATTGGATGTTCTGCAGGAATACTGGGTGATCGTGTTGGACAACGTTCTTCAGATGAGGGAGAAAATGGAGCAAAACACCAAATTGGTGAAGAGGCATATGCAGAATACTGTTACAACAGGGCCGCAAGGGAGAGCTCGTTCAGCCAAGGACAACAGGTACTCTTACTACTTCCTACTGCTGAAAACAAATTGTTGGCTAAATGGCAAGGTGCTGTGCTAAGAAAGCAGTTCAACAACTTATGAGATCCAGATGCCAGAGAGAAGAAATCCAAAACAAATTTCACATCAATCAGCTAAAGCAGGGGTGGGCAACTCCAGGCCTCGAGGGCCGATGTCCTGCAGGTTTAAGATATCACCCTGGGTCAACACACCTGAATTAAATAATTAGTTCATTAGCAGGCCTCTGGAGAACTACAACACATGCTGAGGAGGTAATTTAGCCATTTAAAGCAGCTGTGTTGGATCAAGGAAACATCTAAAACCTGCAGGACACCGGCCCTTGAGGCCTGGAGTTGCCCACCCCTGAGCTAAAGGAATGGAAAACCCAGAATAATCCAATCCAGCAGCAGTTGTTGGTGCAAACTGTGGCTGAGGAGGATGATATCAATGAAGGAATTTATGCCTGTTGGGCTTAACTCTGCCTCTCTTGACCTCTCCCATCTCTCTGTAACTCAGCAGGAGGAGTTGCATGCCATTATTCCTGCCAAGTTATTTTTAAGAAGAAACCAGGGATGACAAACCTTGTGGAGCCTGACATCTGCCTGAAAGAGAGTACACCAATATGGCAGAGAATGTACAGGATTGGAGTTTTGGAGAAGTAGGTAGCTCTGATATTGGATTTGGGGGTTACTGAGGCTTCAACCAGTGAATGGAGCAATCCTATTGTGATGGTAAAAGTTGTAATTGTAGAAGAAATTGTAATTTCGTTTAAATTCTGTTCCAGTGAAAATAAAAGCATTCTAAACTCAAATGGATTCCTTGGAAAGAAAAGTTTCACGATCTCCACCAATCCATGAATTAACTTGTTTTCAACTGACAGCATGGCAAGAGCATTTAACCTCTGCTGTCCCACGGTGTTGCATGTGAAGGTCTTAATTCTTTTCCACTTTATAATCACTTCTGCTGAATCAAGCAGAAGCTTTTCAATTTCTGGCTGTGACACTCTTTCAGATAAGGCATCCTGAAGGTTGTTCTCAATTAACTCGAGCAGAAACGAGTATTTCCTGTGTGCAACTCAAAGAGACTGTACAGTGACTTCATCCTAATTTTGATCGCTCCTTCAAGTGTGACACTGGGAAATTATGTGACAAACTTCCTTCAGAGAATTCAGTCCGTTATTCTCCGGAGGAAGTCGGACAGAATAAGGTGACCACTTTTGATAAATGTCTCCTGTACCTGCACGACACATTTAGTCCTCTTATTCTTTCTCTCTCAGACAACCCACTCTCTCTAAAACTGTGTGTTTGACTGGATGATCATGACCATTTTTACATATTGCTTTTCGAGGACATACATCATATTAAACTCTGGTGTCAGCATAGAAAAACTGTAGAATCTGTATAATGAAATAATGCAAATAAACCTGCAAAAATAAAAAAATACTTCGAAATCAGAGAGTCTTGTTGACTGCTGAAGTGCCCACTCCTTCCTACCTATCTCATCATCATAGGTTTGCACAATTAATTTATTCTTGCTATTTTATTGCTTGCGAGTCATTTTGTCCTTAACCTAAACGAATGCAACTTCACATGTGCTAAAAGGTTTCTGCACGTTATGATTCTAGCAAGAACAAACCTGTTGTCTGCTGTTTGCTGACTGTGAAGGTCAGTGGCACTTTTGCGTCAGTCTGAGCCACTGACTTTGATCATGAACATTATTACCGACATGTGAACAGCTGCTTTTGTGTCTGGCATGGTAGATAGACTGGTGTTTATGCTATACTCTCCTACTCTGCCTTAACACTGAGGACTTTATACAACATGCCTCATTCACCCATTAAACAAGCACTATCTATGCTGAGATTCTATAGTATATTTCACACCGTTTGTGTGCCGGGGATACAAGTTTCACCTGGTTGGAGTTTTGTTTAAGTAAATGTTTATCACTGTTGACAGTAGAGGGCAGCAGGGTTCCTGCTGTGGGACTGTTATGGCAAGACACACCTCTGTTCATTCTCCTATTCTACAGATTAGTAATGGCTCCAAAAGCACAAAAACTTATTAATGAACACTGAAGTTTATCCTCTGTTACTCCAGGCTATGTTTACAATGACCAATATGTAACACTGTGCTTACTTGAGCGACTCTGGCTAAAATAAAAATTGCATAGATATGCTTCAAGCACAGTGTTCCTAGTTTTTCTTGTGTTTTTGTATTTTGTTAGTTCATTATTTATTCCATGGTTCCTAGGTTGTTCAGTTTAGTTTATTGGATTCCCCCCTTGTGTCTCTGCTCTCTGTGTCTCCCTCTGTGTCTGTGTTTATATTGTGGTGTGAGTTCTTGTGCCGTGGTTCCCTTCATGTTTTATTGTGTTATGTTTTCCATGTTTCCCCAGCGTGTCGTGTCTGTGCTCTCCCTCGCTCCCTCATCTGCCTCTCCTCTACTCCCACATCATGTTTCCTGTTTTATTGTGAAGGTCCTGCGTTTCCATGTTTATTCTGTTCAGTCCAGTCGCCCCTGTCTCGTTATGGTTATTCATGTCAGCTGTGTTCCTTGGGTCTTCTCACTTCCTTGTTATCCCTCTGTGTATTTAGGTCAGCATCTCCCTCAGTCTTCTGTCGCGTCCTCCCTCATGGCTGCGCGTCTCTCCCTGTGTTTCCCCATGAGTTCATATTCTTAGATTTTCCCGGTTTAGTTTTGTATCGCTCCCTCTGTTCCCAGCAATAAAACTGTATTTTGAATTCACGTTTTGCTTAAGTGAGTTTGTTTGAAGGTCCAATTCCTGGTTCATGACAATCCTGCTCTCTTAAAATGTAAAGATCAGATCACTTATTTTTAGATTTTCTGTTCAGTGTTTGTATGTTAATTATACAAAGCAGGTCGGAAGTTATTCAGACACGCCCCCCCCCAACAAAACATTTGAATACTGTCAGTAGCCAACTTGACTGGGAACACGTAAAGCATAAAAGTAATATGAGTCATGTCAATAAAAACTTTAGGAAGGACAATACACATGGATATAGGTTTCTTCCTTCCTTCCCTCACCCTCAAAAGATGAATATCCCTCTCTGAGCCTGCCTCTGCTAGATGTTTCCTCCTGTTAAAGAGCTGATGATAGGAATTCATAAAACCTGGCGCACACCTCAGAAGCAGTAAAGGCATCATGAGTGTAGGTGATGCAAAATGTCCATGTGCATCCACAACGCTAATGCTAATGTCTGACTAGCCAGCATACCCTGAACCTACCATGTCAGGTATTAATTTAATGTACTAGGCATAGCAGTTACATCAGGAGATGTAGAAACTCTCATGTATGTTGTCAATACCAAGTCAAGAGTTAAGAGAATTCCTGACTTATGTTTCAATTTATAAGAAATTTACTCTTTGTTCGCTACAAATGTAACTTGTTTCTAACTAAATGGATGATGGCAGTTTGAATCCCACAGTGGTTAAGCACCATCTCAAATAACTTCACTACACTGACAACAGAAACAGAAGCACAGAAGTTCCACATACATTCTCACTGTTGTGGTCAGCCTCACTGGGACACCCGAACAGCTCTCGTCGCAGAAGGTTGCCATCGTACTCCAGAAAGGTAAGATAGAGATTCCGGAAGAATTCCACATGCTTGTTCTTTACTCGCAACTTCTTTGGAGAGTTCCAGTGGATCACCTGTTGAGGAGAACCACAAATGGGAGAGCGGTGAAGAAACTTCTGGTATCATCAGGTTCTAAAGAATCAGAGCAATAAACCAAAACATTTACACTGCGCTTTGCCAAGAGTGCAGAACAAAGTTACTACTTGTTGTTAACACTTGTCTGTTATTTGGCTCAATACCTGGCAAAAATAATGAGAGAGCAGTAAAGAAAAGCCTCATTATACTGTTTGCTAAGATGTGAAATTACTTCACTCAGTGCTTTAGACAAAGGTGCCATTTCACCAACCGCACTTTTTTTGCAGATTGATATAAATACGTTTCAGCAGTGCCATTCAAGATGCTCGTTTGTCACTTTCAGCAACTTAGTGTTTTGGCCAAGAACACTTTGTGGACATAGAATGAACTGCCAACCGTGCGAGGAGCACATGAAGCATTATCCAATGCCAGAAGATACATTATAGAAGAAACCACATGAAAGAATCCACAAAACTGCCAAAACATGTATGAGGCTATTTCCGGCATGGCTTCACTTTTGATTGGTAAGATCAAGAGCTTTTCCTAAAACTGATTCAGAAGAGTTTCTTAATGTCTTTGTTTAACGGTCTCAAAAGCACTGTGCTAGTGTGGAAAGTTTAAGTCCCGTTTTTTTCTATTATAGTATACTTTTACTTGGATGACTAAAAACCTACACAGACCAGTTTGGTAAGAACAGTAATAGACCCTGTGCACGAGAAAATGCTAAGTTCCTGTTTTAAGGCCGGATGTAGGGTTGTACATTTCCGGTAGCTTTATTTTGCGGTCAATCGCTACTGCAAAGGTGGACTCCAAAATCATGTCCAAAATACGAAAACGGAAAGATTACATTAAGTTACAAAGAGCAAAAGGTGGGCACACTCACCATTGCCGTGTTATTAAAAATAAAATGATCAATTTTGACGTTTGAAGCGTGTAGATTGGTTGTTTACATCACTCAACACAAGCAGAACTGTATTACAAAATCAGAAGACACATCGTCCACATTCAGAAGCACATCTCTGTATAGTGACAGTTCTTATGTTTAAACAGGCAAATGTCCAGTATTGAAACTACAGGTGAACAATAGTCAAAGCCAGATGTTACCACGTTATGTCGATATCAGCTGGTCAAGTGCTCACCTACACAGCATGTCAACAAACCGTGAAAAAAAGCCACAGGATATAAAAAATACATGAATGACTGCTGGTAAGGGTCTCTATATATTAGTATTTACGAAGGGTATGTTGTGACTTATCTTCACAATTACAGTGGTCCCTCGCTATAACGCGGTTCACCTTTCGCAGCCTTGCTATTTCGCGGATGTTTTTAGTGCAATTTTGCATGCTTTTTTTTTTTTAAAGCGCAGTGTGTTCTGCGTCCTGATCGACTGCAGACCATTGTCGATCTCCTCCGTGCCGTCTCTCCTGTACAGTACAGAATCGCTACATCAATAGCTAGCAGTGTGACTCTGAAGTGCTGTACTGTATGTTTGGAAGTTTTCTCCTCAACAAAAACAATGTCGACGAAACGTTTTGCACCGTCATAGGCACCTGCGGTAGCACCCGAAAGGCAGAGGAAGATAACCATGGCACAAAAAACGTTGGACTTCTGGGCCCATACGGCGCGCCAGATTATAAGGTGCATTAAGCTTAAATGAAGCAATTAAGCTTACAGTTAAATTTATTAGTTCTAAAATCCGTCATTATTATTTATAGGAAAACAAATATACTGTATGTTTACTTTTCAAATAAATGTTTGAGACTGAAAACAGGTTTTGATCTTTGGTTTCATTCTATAATACTGGACTTTTTTTTTCATGAAGGTTTGAACTGTGTTTAATGAGTGTTTAAATAACAGAAAAGTGGGAAAATGTCGATGCCTGTCTGAAAAAACTGTATAAAGCGTGTAGTGAGGGGTTTTACAGCCTTAACACATATAAAATAATTGTAAAAAAATAAAGTTGGCTACTTTGCGGATTTCACCTATTGCTGGTTATTTTTAGAACATAACACCCGCAATAAACGAGAGAACACTATATACAAATACTAAGAAATATAAAATTTGAATCCTTTTTCTATTTTGCCCTGAGGCAGGAGGAAAAATATCGACAAGTCGATGAACATCACCTACAGATATATTCGGTAAATGCTCAAGACATCTTGAGAAATGTAAATCGCCGCTTGATTCATCCGACCGCTTGATTCATCCGACCGCTTGATTCATTGACGTTTTTTTGGAAAACCCGACCGTAAACAAGGTGCAAATATCACACCGGAAACGAAGCGCCTTACAGGAGTTTCCCCACTGGAAGTAGCATACGCTAAAGTGCACATAATCAATCCGGTCGATAAGTCTGACGTCACTAGCCATGTCTGGGCCTAAACTCTGCTGCAGGTCCATATATCAAGCTATCACTATGGCATTACTGAGAGTTGAAAAACTGTCTAAAGTCTTTCATCTTTAATAAAATCAGTGTTCTGCTCTACCAGGTGTAACAATTGAGTTTAACATCCAGGCATCCATGAAAACGGAATTTATGACATTTAACGGAGTTAGAAGCTAGCAGGAAGTTAGCTCGCTAGCTTCTATCTAAATACAATATAGCATGTCCTGACTGCGGGGTTTTGGAAACAAATTAAAACGTACAGCTCTGTATTCACTTCCAACATAAATGAAGACAGAAAACTAAACAGCAGTGACGTTTGTAGGGTTACTGAAGTTTGGCTAGCTGGTATATATAGATGTGCTACGTGACCGCTAGCGACACAGCTATGTTAGCATAATATAAACAAGCTAACTTTTTTTCCACTCGATAAAGGTTAACGTGAGTGTTCTCGGTGGTCAGGAACAAATGTAATCGCATGGCAGGATGCTGTAAAAGGACCAAACTTCAGCCAGGAGAACAACTGAGATAATCCATCCACAACACGAGGTTAGTCATTCATATACTGCTGCATGGGCTGGGCTGTAGTTACATCCTAAGGTTTAAAAAACTGAGCTTAAATAAATGATTAGCGGTAATAAAAGCCGAGGGAGGTCAACAGTGATCACTGACTATTTTAGGAGCTTTTTGAGATTAAATAGAAGAAAATAGTACTCTTATGCAGGGTTTGAAATGTCTAGTTATTTGAAAAATGGAAAGTAAAATAAAGGATAGAAAGTGGGGAACACCTCCGAGCAGGTTCATATGCGTCTCGATAAATGTATAACGCGCTTATCAAGATCTCACCTTTAGGTCGGACACATCTTTGTAGCACTTTTCGGAACGGGTGTGGTCAGACAGCTGGACGTTCCAGAAGCAAGGCAGCTGATGAACCAGGAACGGGTTTTGTTTGATCACTGCGTTAAAGATATCCTGCAGACACAAAATCATATAAGATATGATATCCCCACACAAAAAAACCACATATTTAGGTTGTCCATTCTTTAATCTGCTGAAAGAGATGTGTCTTCCTGAATGTTTTAAATGTGGTACAAATGCTTACTTAAAGACCTAAGTTGGAATCTGCTTTGTTTGATCGATTTAGATTTTTTACATATATGAATCATTTTATCATCATCACCAACCGGAGAGCTGGGAGGGATTACTACCTGCCTCGTGGTTTTATGTTTAATAAAAAGAAAGTGAAAAAGATATTCTGGAATCTTACTGGTCTGGGCCCAGTTTCATAGTTCTGACTCAGCCACCATCTTGTTAAGTGTGCTGTATGTATCCAGATGTTCATCCTTATACAGTCCATTTATATGTACACTCACTCTCATAAAGCGAAAAACTTGAAATTGCTTTGAGGAAATGAAGTCTGGTTACATCTGACAGACTTTTCTTTAACTTTGAGATTTTTGAACACTCACGTAGCAAAAGCCTAAGTGCAGCTTTAGCTTCCTAATGGGAAACATAAAAACTATTTAACCATGTAATGAATACTACAATAAAGTGGGCTGACAGTCCATGGAAGGAAGTCATATAGCAGAAGGCAGATGGAAAGCTGAAAGGAGCCTGCTCCTTTTCCAAACTGCCTACTTTGCGGGAATTTACTTAGTGAAGGTTTAATTTAACTCTCATAACCATACCTCTCATCTAGACAAGCTCTTAATAACTAAATGGAAAAAGGATAACTTCCCAAAGCTCTCAGTGTTTGCCCTGTGACTGTTGATGTGGAACAACTCAAAGAGTATGATAACATGTCTTTGTGACCACTGGCACATAGGTATGCCCAAGTGGACTGAGAAAACTGTGTAGACCACTAACATATACATGAAGAGTTCTATCATCCTGGCACAGGCACAATGCAGGACTCCAGTTATTTAGTATATTTCGTTTTGCGAAAGATCTAAACATTAAAGTCTCAGAGGTGGAGAAAGAGTCTTATAAATTTTATTTAGCTTGTAGGTGTCTGGAGTCAGCTGACAGTTACTGACAATCCAAGAGGAGAATGGCAGTAGCTGAAGCAAAAAATCAGGTGTGGCAGGAGCTCATTGGTATGGGCCATTAGGTCCCTGTACAACTGTAGTGAAAGCTCTCGATCCAGCAGTAAGTCAGACCCTTTGTTATCAATTCTGTTCCTAAATTTTATGACCAACATTTTTAGGTGAGGCAAGTGACTTTATAGGCAGTGACCTCAGCTCCCACTGGGTCATTTGCAACCAAGTTTTAAAGCAAAAGAAATGAGAATTGCCACCTCTAAATCTGACACTACTGTTCTCAGATGGCAAAGGGCTGCATGCAGCTAAGGGAGGATTCGCTGTTTATTTTGACGTCCTATTCGCTGAGCGAAGAGTGAAGCAGGTCACTGACAAGTTGAGGGAGGATGTCTATAAATAGACAGCTGCCTCTGTAAGCTGGACCCAGATAAGCGTGAGAAAATGGATGACCCTTGAAGGTTAAAACTATATCTTTTGAGATACAGTGTAAAGCTGGGCATACACTGTGCAATTTTGGCCCATTTTGAGCCGATTTTTCAGTCGTGCGACCGTTATGGGGATCGGCCCGATTTTGGCCTTCATCGTGCATCGTGTAGTATACGTGGGGTAACAAGAAGCGATTAACACCTCACGACCAGCTCCCGATCATCAATCGTTTGGTCGTAAGAAAATCAAACATGTTTGAAATCCTGTCGTGAGGGTGTCACTGCAGCCTCTCACACTGCGCACGCGCAAACACAGAAATGAAAGTGAAAAGACGGAGCAACACGGCAGTGCAGCGTATGATGGAGGCACAACTTGTAGAACTTTGGCAAGCTCATCTGAGTCTTTTTGATGTGGCCTCACAAAATTATCAAAATCACAACAACCGTGAAAAGAGTTGGATGGACATTGCTGCTCAGTCACAGCTGCCTGATCAATGTTTTTCATTAGCAATTTATGGTTGATGGTGGTGTGTGTGTGTGTCTGTGTGAGTGAAAGACAGAGAGGGGGAGCGAGAGGCAGATTTTGTGTTATAAGCTTCATGTTGTGGACGCACAGTGTGAGCACTCAGGTCGCATCAGATCAGGCTGTATAGTGTGAGACGCTGCATCGTGACCGACAAACTTCTAACCCCTGCGACTCAATTGTACAGTTTGAGCAGGAGTTGAATAACGCGACTGAAAAAATTGCAGTGTTTGCCCAGCTTAAGACTAACGCCTGATTTAGACTTTTGCAGGGAACCTTTACCATTACGTGTTCATGTTCCAGTGTTTCAACTGTGATGTCAGCCAATTAAAAAAAAAGAAAAATGCTGGTACTTTTCTCTCCCAGGTCCCTGCTCTTTGCTGTGGCCAGTGAATTTTTGGTGGGTTTTTTGGGGGGAACAAACAATAGTGGATCCCTGACCCTCAGAACCATTTTCCAAAAGGGCCAGAGGTTGATTTTGTTTTCCAGTAACTGCTGTCACATCATTTTGTTTTCAACAAATTAAAGAAACATTTGAACAGTTCGATCATCAATATCCAACATGTCATTTTTTGTACTGTCTATAACCTTTATTGACTGCAACATTTGATACAACATACTCATACTAATTATACACAACTGAAAATCTTTTTTTAGTGACTTTTATTATAATGGCAGGTTTACCCACCAGTCCCGACTACCTTTTCCTGATGATTTCATCCAGTACCAGAGTGAGATATTCCTATTCAGATTTTAACTGTCACTGAATGCAGAGTTGTCAAATTTAAAGGACATTTTTATATTGGTGCAGCACCATAATGCTGTGCTGTCAGTATATGAAAGCACAACAGGTTTATTTAATTATGTAAGTCCAAAAATACTCCTACTTCAAATACAGC